TTCAGTCCTAGCAGACGAGTTCCAACCGTTGGAATCCTTTCCACCGTGTGGATACGTGTAGAGGGCGAGGTATTCTTCCTGTCTTAAAGTGATCGGACGAACACATCGATTGCAAATTCATGTCTGAAACTGGAGATGCTACACAGTCACACCATTGATGCTCATCTCTTATTTACTTGTTTCCAGTTGCCAATGTTCCTTCCATTCATTCTGAATCGCCATCCAATCCTTATTACTCCTCCCCATGGCACCTAAGCTTCACCTGCAATGGCAGCTCCTGAGAATTCTAAGGTCGAGAAGAGCGAAGCGAAGCGCATCAACGGGAATACTTAAAGATTCTGATCGATACGATGGAAATATCACGTTAAATCCGGGAAAAACAAAAATGCTTACGAGGCGATATGAAAGACGCGGAGAGTCACGACGAGGGCGAGCTAAATCCGCCCCCACCAGGTGTCAAAATCTGCAGAATTTCGCCTTCTTGGACATGTACCGTGTTCTTGCCTCCGAGGTAGACCCTGCGTTTATCTTTAGTGACGAGATAATTAGCTCCTCGAGCTCCGTTCTCACCACCGTTCAATCCTCTCGGGGCGTGAACCCTTCTCTCGGAGAGAATGCTCACAACCACCGGCTTCCTAAACCCGATCTCCCTCACAAGTCCGTCCCCTCCTCTGTGCAAGCCATTGCCTCCGCTGTTCTCTCTTAACCCAAACCTATGCAGAAGAACCGGGTATCTCTGCTCGAAGATCTCGGGATCAGTCATCCGGGTATTTGTCATATGGCATTGGACGCCGCTCGTCCCGTCCCAGGTCGGTCCCGCACCGCTTCCTCCTCCAATCGTCTCGTAATACCCGAAAGTGTCGTCTCCGAACGTGAGGTTGTTCATGCAGCCCTGTGAGCAAGCGCAAGCCTGGAATGCTGTTAAGACAACATCAGTAACTCTTTGTGATGTCAGAACGTTACCTCCGACGACAGCAGCTTTCTCGCTCGGGGAGAGGAATGAACCAGTGGGAATGTGGATCTTAACCGGAGCTAAGCACCCTTGGTTTAGAGGAATATCAACGTTAACCAGACAACGAAGACAGTATATTACCGCCGCAGCAGTAACTGCTTCGGGGGCATTCCAGTTACCGTATACCTCAGAACTTGTCCCAGTAAAATCGAAGAAAGCCTCTCCCTTTTCACCATCGATGGTAAGTTTCAAGTGAATTACGGATCCGTCGTCCATGTAATCCTCTTCTTCCACGATCACAGAATTTCCAACTCTGGATTTCGGGGATTGAGAGGAGACTCTCACGGCAACAGACTTGAGCATCTCTCTCACGGCTTCTTCGGCGTTAAGCTGTACGTATTTCATGTAAGCCTGAACAGTTTCCAGGCCATACTGCTCAATCAGTTCCTTGATCAGTGCAATTCCTCTCTGGTTAGCTGCAACCTGAGCCCGGAGATCCGAGAGATTGTCCTGAAGCCTTCGGGTTCCGGGAATTTTGTAATTTGTTTCATCGGAACAAGGGAACTGCAGAAGTTTAACGATTCCTTCTTCTTGGAAAACCCCTTTCTCGACGAGCTTAAACGCCTTTATAGCAGCACCTTCTTCCCATATCGCCTTTGAGAAAGGCGGCATGCTTCCCGGGGTAATGCCCCCGATTTCCGCATGGTGGCCTCTGCTAGCAACGAAGAACACGAGTTTACCGTCGTCAAAGACAGGCGTGACCACGGTTATATCGGGTAAATGGCTGCCACCAGCACAAGGATGATTGGTCACCAGAACGTCTCCTTCGTTCAGATTCACTCCCCAGTGTTTGAGTTGCCAACGTACGGTACTAGACATTGCTCCTAGATGAACCGGAACATGAGGAGCATTAGCGACTAACCCACCATCCGGGCTGAAAAGGGCACAAGAAAAATCCAATCTTTCCTTGATGTTCGTCGATATAGAGGTCCTTTGAAGGGTTCTTCCCATTTGCTCGGCTATTCCCATGAACCTGTGATTAAATATCGACAGCTGAACAACATCCGCGACATTCTCCATGAGTTTGACGTTGCTCGTTACAGATTCGAGCTCGATCTTGATATTCCCATACTTTGTAACGATGGCTTTGCATCGAGGCTCTACTATAACTGTACTGTTCCCATTCATGACGATTGCAGGGCCGGGAATCTCGTGCCCAAAGCCTAAATTCTCTAACTTGAATAACGGTGTTTCTCGCCATCCGCCTTCAAAGTAGACTTTGTAGTGCCCTTCAATTTTAGGAGCGCCAGGGGCAGCTTCGACGGCCCGTGGTTTCAATATGTTAGTCACCCCGATTCCGCGGACCCGAACATCGCATACGAGGATGTTTCTGTTCTGAAGCTTGAATCCATACTCTTGCTGGAAAAGCTTGAGAAATTCCGCAGCATAATCAAATGCAGATTCTTTGGTTTTCTGACCCTTTACCATGATTGCTGTATCCGTGCCATCGTACCGTAAGTTCAAATACGTCTCGGTTGAGATATTTCCGTCGCTGAATCCCTGTTCCATGAGCTTCTCTCTCACTTCTCTCAGTAGTATAGCTTCCCTTCTGGAGACCTCCGAAAGTGATTCGGGTCCATAAACAGCAGAATACGGCTCTTGAGCTTCTTCGACGACGTCTGCTAAACCCATTCCGTAAGCGCTCAAGATCCCGCAGAATCGGTGGATGAGAACTTCTTTCATACCCAAAGACCTCGCTATGGCACAAGCGTGCTGAGGTCCTGCACCTCCGAAGCAAGCAAGGGCGTGATTCTTCGTTTCGTGACCCTTCATCTCTGTTAATTGCCGTATGGGGCGGCACATCGTCTCGTTCGCGACATTCACGAAACCCATTGCTATTTCCTCAACGGTCATGTCCTTGGCGGATGGATCTTGGCTCTTCCTGTATGCGTTTACCTGTCCAGCAAGCTTTTCAAACTCTTTTCTCGTTTCCGCGATATCTAAAGGCTGGTCTTCATTGGGGCCGAAGATAGAAGGAAAATAATCGGGAATGACGAATCCCAACACGAGATTTGCATCAGTTACTGCCAATTCCCCACCTTTCCGGTAACAAACTGGACCCGGGTGAGCTCCCACCGATTCAGGACCCACTCTGAAAGATCCGAACTGAAACTTTAGCTTCGAACCACCACCCGCAGCAACTGTGTTTATGTCAAGCTGCGGTGCTTGTATGATGGCTCCGGCAATCTGGGTTTCTATGACTTGCTCGTAACTTCCGGCGTATCGACTGACATCAGTTGAAGTGCCACCCATGTCAAATCCAATCAGCGGTTTATCGGTTTCGAGACCGAAAAGGGTCTGTGAGTAACCGACAACCCCACCTGCGGGACCAGACAAAACCGCCTTGTGACCCGAGAACCTACTTTCCGGCGCTAGGCCTCCATCGGATTGCATGAATAGAACATTCACTTTTCCAAGACCTTCATCGAATTTCGAAATGAAACCCGTCAAATACTCCTTGATCACAGGCGTCAAGTAGGCATCCACAGTAGCGGTTAATCCCCGAGGAACAGCCCGGACCATTGGCGTCAGTGCGGAAGACAAGGATACATGTCTGAAACCTAACTCCAATGCCAACTTCTCCACCGCCATCTCATGCTTGGGATAAGTATAAGAGTGCATCAGAACAACGGCCAAACAACTGACCCCTTTCTCGAGCAGACCCTTCAGCAACAGCTTGAGAGCTTTTTCATCGAGCGGCTTCGCAACCCTAACGAGCTCACCAGACACTCCCTTGAACAGTGATGGAGAACTGACATCACTTTCTTCCTCCTCCTCGAGCACAAGCTCGATCCTTTCATCAACCTCGATAACCTCTTCGTAAAGATTCGAGGGTTTGGTCACGGTAAGGTCGAAAATATCGGGCCGAGCTTGATTACCAATCTGCAACAGATCCTTAAAGCCTTTGGTAACACATAATGCGATTCTCTCCCCCTTCCTCTCCAACAATGCATTCGTCGCCACCGTTGTACCCATCCTTATCCACTGAATCTTATCGGTTGGAATCTTGGATGTTCTCGGGATTTTCTCGCCCGTATACTCTTCAAGTATTCTCCGAATTCCCTCGACAGGAGCGTCCTCATAGTTAGCCGGATCGACGGATAAGAGCTTCAAGACACGACCGTCAGGATGTCCCGGAATTTCGGCATAAACATCAGTGAATGTACCCCCTCTATCAATACAAAATTTAAGCTTTCCTTCACTAACAGCCCCCATCTCTCCCTATCTGCAAAAAAACATAAACTTAACCGTATGAGATTCTGTATAAACCCTAATTCGATCCGATCACAGACATATAAGAAGGCGTAAAATCACAGTCTTCTCAGTTCTAACTATAAAAACTCAAATCCAAGTAACAATCACTAATCGTTCATTCGCGCAGTCACAGGAAACATCTAATCACAAAATCAGCATCAATATCACATTAATCGGAACCGCAAAACAATCGAAACCAGAATCGAATGGAGAAAATAACCATAACCAATCACCCAGATGATCAAAATCGAGTGGCGACAACGATATTTCAGACAGAACACGGAGAGAGCCCAACTAAAACTGAACACGAAAGAGACATCAGACAAGGATCGTTGATCTGGAAAAGCCCGCAAGAAAATAGCTTCACCTTGGAAGAGAAAAATCGCGGAAGAGAGAAGAGAGCTCGATCAGACAGTCAAACAGTCTGAGGAACTTGTAGATTGAACACGACCTGATGAGATGGATCTTGAGGTCCGTATCGCCGCCGGTAACCGGCTTCTGTTGGTTTTTATATTTTGGTTGAACCACCCCGGTTTCCCCCGGTTATTTGATCTTTAAACCGGATAAACATTTTAAACTATAATGGGTTCGCTGAATCTAACAACTATTTTATCTAAGAATAGTTTTTTTTTGTTGCTAAGATTAGATTATCTTATTACTTAGGAAAATCTACTACCATAAAAAATATACGAAAAAATTAAATAATATCGTAAAAAATCTAAATAAGTATATGAGATTTTCTACTGCATAAATACATTCAATTATCTGACATTTCCATATAAATATATAAACTTTTAAAATATTAAAGTATTTCTATATAAATGTTTTACATTTATTTGATTTCTAACCAAATATTTAAAATATAGATTAGCTTTAATTTAATATCATTATTTTTCAAATATAAATATTACAGTCGGTAATAAAAAAATATTATTTACAGGTTTACATTAAATACTTTACTAATGGATGTATTTATATATAAAAAAGAATCTAATCTATTTATTTGGGATTTTTAAGAACAAAAACTAAAACAAAAGGCATAAATTTTGAACAACCAATAAAGTAATTAGTAATATCGAATTACAGGGCGGTGTATACGAATTTGGATACTGTCTTTTTTAATTGTGTTATTTTTAAAAAATAATTTAAAAATACAAAATGATAGTGTGTGTTAGGGGTGGCCACGGTCGGATATCCGGAAAAATCGATGGATTTGGATTTAAATTCAGAAGGCTCGGATATTTAACTATAAGATTTGTATCCGGGATTTGGTATTTACGAGTATCCGGAATAATAGTCGGTTATTCGCGGGTATCCGGATCCGGATTTATTTAAGAAAAACAACAATATTTATATATAAAATTTTCAAAAAATGAAGATATATTTATAAAAATTGATGAATTATGATAAAATATATGAGATAATAAGAGATAAATAATAATAAATTTAATTTTTTTGAATTAATATTAAAAAATATGATATTATTTAATCTAAAATAATTATATTTTATAAAAAAATATTATATAAATATAAGATGTAATTATTTATAATCATAATAGTCGGGTATCCGCGGATATCCGATTTTAAAAGTTCTATTATTCGGATTCACAGATATTGAAAAATTAGGATTTGGATTTGGATTTGAAAATTACAAATACCCTAAAATCAGGTATCCGTGAGACGGATATCCGACGGATACCCGATTTTCGGGTATTTGTGGCCAGCCCACAGTGTGAGTGTGTTGTGGTTACAATTTAATAATTTATTACAATGGTCATCATGACCTCTTGAATGGGGGCGAGCTTTTCTTTTTCGTTAGGTTTTGATTGGATCATTAGTGGTTGGACATAGTTGAATACGAGCGGGATTCTTTTCTGTCCTTTAAACCTTTAAAAAAAAAAAAACCATTCAACTTTGTCCAGTTATTTTTAACAAAAAAAAAGAGATGGAGATATAAAAATAAATTATTTGAATAAACACAAAATTCGAAGAGAGTTTTCACCAACAAAATAGTTTCTATCCAACCAAATTTTGCAGTATCTCAAAATTCAAATACCGGTATATTATTATTTTGGAATATTATAATACGAGAACTATTTTCAACCCCCAAAAGAAAATTACTTTCAAAATCATATATTCATATCACATGTTTTATTTACAGATCCACAAGTAAAATCTGGAGAGAACTGTTCGGGTTCATGGGACAGACTTAAACACGGAAATGCGAACCAAAATACATAAATAATATATATATATATATAAGGAAAAAAAATGAAAGAAAACTTCTGGTCTAATATGATTAAATAATTTTTAGCGTTCTTGGCTCTCTATCTGACGGCAATTTCTCTTCCTTCGTCCACCGCAAAACTAACACGTTTCTGCGCACAAAGTAAATTTATTTTGTTAAAATAAACCCTAATAACCAAAAAATTGTAATGTTTCGTGAGTCTTATGAACAAAGAAAAACCATCCCTTGTGATTTATAGAGGCATATAAATAAACGGATAAATGATGATTTCTATTAGATTAATTAAGAATCTTCATAATTTAACCATAGAGATATTAAATATATTTGGTCATATTCAATACTCGTTGCTTTTATAAGAATGGGTTCACATGAAAAATATATGTTTTCTAGTGACCGAGCGTAAATCGAATTTATGATAATTATTTAAAAAAAGGCCTTAAATAAGAATTTCATCCTAAGTGGAGACTCCAATTTTATTTAACTCAATTCACATAATGCAAAAATATATCAAAGAAAAGTGTATTAGACATTTGATTTAAAATAAATTATTCTTATGAACGTGATCGAAATAACTTGAATCCGATAATCCACGTAGCATATATTATGTGTATTTGTGTACATTTAGGCACGCAAGTACATACGTACATATAGATTTAGGTACATATATCCAAGTGGTTAGTGTTACAAAATTAGATTTGGTCTGCTTCTACCAATTTGGAATTACATTCTATAACAATTTATGCTTATTTATTCAAATTATTTTCTTTTTATTAGGGTTTTGGGGGCTAAAAGAATATAAGATATGAAGGGGTCAAAATTCGACGACCATTTCAGATGTTCCTCAATAATTTGAAAAAATTCAAAGTGAAGACGGAGAGATTTTAAAATTACCTTATGGGCCTTCGGATTTGAATTCCCCTTTTTCTCTCCGATCCCGAGTTTCCGGCGGAAATTACCGTCGCAACCGCCGTGAATGTCGCCGGAATTTCCAACGTAGAGGCCGACAATCCTCTCCGCCATCTCCGAAGCGTCGCGGCTCTCTTCCACGAGCTTCGTCACCTGAGCCCTCGGCAGCCTCAGCTTCACCCTCGTCGTCTCCGGCTCCGGCTCTGGTCCATCTCCGAAGCCAGATCTGGCGATCGTCACGTCGGAGACCGTTCGCCGGGAGAGCATCATCAGCTCCAACCGCTCCTTCGCGCCGATATGGATGCCGGACATCACTCGCCGGTACAGAAACTTGCTGCTCTCCTCCGCCGCCTTCGCCGCCGCCCTCTCCGGCGGAAGCTTCGGGAGGTCCACCAGAAAATACGTCTTCTTCGGCTTTAAGATCTGATTCGGGTCGAGCGGATCGGCGCGAACGCCGAAGTTTTTGACGTCGTCGGAATCTAATAGCATGAATCCGGGATATTCCTTAGTGACGTCGCTCGCCGTCGCCGGAGTTTTTAGCTGGAAAGTCTCGCCGTCGATCTTCATCACCTTCGCCTTCTTGCTTCTGCGCGTAATGATGTTCCCCATCTCTCTCTCTCTCGTTCTCTCTCCTGTTCGATGATGGAGTGTATCTGAATGCTGTGGTATACATATATATATATGTATGTATGTATACATACATACATATATATATTGGAGGGTCTAGGGCTGAAAGTTTTGAGCGTCTCGAAATGATAGTGTGTGAAGCTTTGAAATTTCATGGAGATTCTTTTCTATATTTATTTATTCCAATAAAACCCAATGTTGAAATTTATTTAACGAAGTTTGAAAAGATCTTGAAAGTGTCGGTCCATCGCATTACTTTAAAATTTTATCTCAAAATTTATTGTAACATATCTATAACATAAATATGTATTAGACTGAATATATAAATCTTTATGACCAAAACTAACCGACCGTGGTTCATTATTTCTAATTCATTAATTTGTTATCCAATATGATACTAAATGATACCGAATTATATTCCATAAACTACAAAAGGAAATTCTTAATTTCATTCAAATAACCAATATACCTTTGTGACGCTTTTGTTCTAACGAACATTTATGGATTTGTAAGCTTCAATAATGTAAATTCATTTCAAACATAAACTTTAATGACCAATATTTATGTTGTTGATTATATTATAAGGAGTTTATGTACTTAATTAGATGTTGATCAATATGACATGAATCTTGGTGAATCGGAAATTAATCTATTTTTTAAAATAGAAAATGGTTGTTCATAATTATGTAAATAATAGTTGATATTATGATCTTGATCAACAACAAACACATCATTATGTGTTAATATCCACGGACGAATCACTAGATCTGTTAATCAAACAAAAAAAAAAGTTAATTATGTATCCCTAAATCCAAAACCTATTAAACTTGTAATGTATAATTCCAAAAGTTTGTTATTTATTAATGTTTAAATTTATTATCATGTCTATAAGCGTGGACCGTCTTCTTTTTCTCAATGGCGAAAACTCTATTTGTCCTTTTCCTCGCTAATTTCCTTCTTATGAAAATTCTTTCAAGCATATAATAAACCACCGCGGGATCACACGATCATGGTGCAACACCAATCATATGCAAAGACATCACAACTACTTTTACATATTTAGAAAATTGTACGCATTTTAATTATATACATGTATTTTAAATAATATAAAATTAAAAAAGAATTAAAGAGTGCGAATAATGTTTGAAGTCTTTGTATCGTCTTTCTCACTAAATTCATACAAATTATTAGATTGAAAAAATTTCATATAAATATCTCAATTTTTTAAAATATATAAAATAAATATCTAAACTTTTAATTTTATCTAATTGATACCTTAAATGTTAAAATGTTTCAAATTAATAGATCAAATGTTTAAATATTCTAAATAAATACTCATAAAATAAAATAAAAAAATAATTTATAATTTTGATTCATTTTTTATATTCGAAATAAACATCTAATTTATTCATCATCGTCAAAATTGGTAATTATCATCAATTTCATGAATTTTGTTTTTATTTTAAAAATTAACATCTAATTTATACATCGTCATCAAAGTCCAAATTAAAAATTATCATTGAATTTATAAGTTAAAGTATCTATTTAGATTATTTCAATATTTGAATACTAGTTTAGAATATTTTAATATTTGAGATATTAAGTAGGTTAAAATTAAAAGTTTAAGTATTTATTTGATATATTTTACAAATGTAGAACACTTATACAAGATTTTTCTCTTCATCGTTGTATTTGCAAAGGCAATCTCGCATCTAATAGTTTCTCCATAGTAGGTTTTTTTAGGGGTGTCAATCAGGTCGGTCCGATCTGGTCCGAGTTCATACTCGGTCTGAGGCCTTCAGACTTGGATTCAGGCTGCCCCGGTTTTTTCGAGCCTATATCACCAAGTCCGAAGCCGGCCCTATATATCTCGAGCTCATATCAGTTCGGGCCGGATCGGACCGGTTCGCACGATTTTCTTTGTTAATATTGTTTTTCTTAAGAGTTTTAAAAAAATATATATATATCGGGCTTTTCAGACCGTTTCGAATTGAGCCGAAGCCCGAATCGAACTCGGTCCGAAAGTCCGAAAATTTTTGGACCTCAATATTTCGACCCGAAATTCGCTATTTTTTAGGCTGGACCGAACCGGACTTCGGGTCTCGAACCACAATTGGCACCCCAGATTTCTCTAAAAATGAGGATATAAGTGATGATATATATATATATATATATGTATATATATATATAACCACCTAAGCTACTATGAATTTTGAAGTTCACTGAAAAATGTTTTTTTAGTTTGTCCTCATGCATTGAATTTTAATAACGACGTTAGTTTTGCTGAGATTATTCTGATCGTGCTCACAGAAATTTACAGGCCCATTGTTATTTTGATATATAATATACTAAAAATATAATAATAATAAAAAAAATGTGTTAAACGCTTCACATTGTAACAATTTGGGACTTCAATTGGATTTTCGATTTTAGATCTTCAGCTATATAAAAACTACATCATAGCAAATTTCAATTTTTACCAGTACTCATTTAAAATTTTAATACATATTGAATTTAATATATAACTAAATTTTATTTTAAATTAGGTTCGAAAACAGGTAAATATTATTCACTTTGTATATACCAAGGGAAAACAAACTTGGACACTGCCAATCTCCGTGTTTTTTTTTTTATGAAAAGAAAAAGAATAAAACTCCTTTTTAAAAGTATATATATATATATATCTATGTGTATATTCTTTTCACATTTTAGCCATGGAAAGAGAATATTCATTCCCAAATCTGCGTTCCCATATTAAGCCTGTTTTTTTTTTTTTTTGTCGTTACTAAACTTTGATTCATTAGTAAACTAGACTATTTTTGTCGGTCTAATAAATTTTGTTTATTTCAACTAGTAATTAAGAGCGCGTAGCTAAAGTTAAATATAAATTATATATACCATTTCACATCTTCCACCGTAACATAAAGACAACAAATATTTTACAATTCTAATTGTAAAATCCGCACTTGGGTTCCACTCTGTGTCCCAATGTTTTAATTCGACGACCATCTCTCCTATATTCAGCTTTTATCTAGTGACAGTAAAGTAATCCCTTGTATTATTATCATTATTATTATTTGTTGATGAAACAAATTAATCTCTGTATTATAATGGAAGGCTGTAAACGGTCTTGCTGATCTTAGGGTGTAACGAATGGTAACGCAATCGTTGTTTGTGATCGCAACCGCTCACAATTATGACAAAACGTTAAGATTTTAATCTTACGACACAGGATATAATCCTCTAATTCAAGCAGGTCAGCGCAAAATTTGGGAAATATAACTAATATTTTTTTTCATTATTATTTATAAGATTTTTTTTTCTTGTAGCATACAAATGATCCGGAAGACTGTTACATCAATAAGTTTTAATCAGAATATCATATTTACAAAATAAATTCTAATGAAGGGAAATAATGGTTCAAAAATCGGAAAAACTGAATTTAAAAATAATCAGAAAGCAAATTTCACCAATAATTCCAATCTTTTTTCCCTCCCCCTTGCCATTTTAGTGGGGGGTTCATTCATACTTCTCCCGCCAAATCAGGTCACCGGCCATAGCCGGTCGCCGGTTATAAGAATGGCTCCAAATTGGAACATTCCCTTCGCTCGGATCGTCCCGTCACCCGGTTTCTCTCACCGCCGATTGCATCTTCCCCGTCAATCCTGAGGATTCTTTTGTTGTTTGTTTCCCGAGAAATTCGAGACCCTAGTTTTTTCGCCAGGTGGGCATTCGTGGGCTGATTTTTCCTTTTCGAGTGTTTTTTAAAAGGATATCGTACTGGGTCTCTTCGGAGTTCGATGAAGTTTCTCGAATCTAGGGTTCCGCTTGAAGCCTATGCGAACAAGGAGGTGATTTCTCGCGTTTTCTGATCACCATGAGCGCCATCAACATCACCAACGTCACCGTCTTGGACAATCCGGCCCCATTTCTTACGCCTTTCCAGTTCGAGATTTCTTACGAGTGTTTGACTCCTCTCAAAAACGGTATTTGCTTTCAACCTCAAGCTGTTTACCGTTTGATTCGTGGAGATTATGTTTGGTGGAGATTGGTTTCGTTATTGAGATATGGGTTTTCGCTAGAGGTTCTATGCTGATTGAAATTGATTGTAATGACCCTTATCGGTTTTTGAGAATAGGGTTGTAGAGAGAATAATAGGGGAGAACTGAAATGAGGCTCATGTGGTTTCTAATGGCCAAAGGATTTCAGAGTCATTACTTCTTGATCTCTTCTGTTTCGTTGTAGTGATTGTAGTTGGAGAATTCATGTGTAGGATCACATATAATTTCGCATCTTGCTGTTTATGCCTTTTAGCTACATGAAAGACGGCCTGAGTCATAGCAGTGCCATGGTTTATCTGCGGTGAAGTGAATTGGTGGTGGAAGTGATCGCCTTATGGTAGATCATGGTCAGAAATGGCTTGATTGAGAATAGGTTGCGATGAGATATTTCTGGTTTTCTCTTCGCTTTGTTCTTTAGCTGTTTTGCTTCGCTTGTTTAGCATGGCGCTCAAGAGACACTTCTTCGGTTTAGTTCTTGTAGGAATCTGGTATTGGAAATGAATCTCCATGACCAAGCAAGTCCCTTGTAGGTGGATTAGTATAGTTGTGATCCGGAGATTATAAGTTTGCATATGTGCTCTCACCAGTAATGGAATATTTGCTTTCAGTCCTTGGCTTTCTATAAACCCGTTGCATGTTTGCTCACGTTTCATGCTTGCTAGTTGTGTTGTTTACATTCTTTGTGAATGGCGATAGACTAGCTTTAGTTTTCAGGGACAGTGGTTCTTAGAGCTCAGGCATCTTCTTGCCTTTTTGTTGACCCAACTCTTGCTAGCTTCTGGTACAGATTTGGAATGGAAGCTTATATACGTAGGGTCAGCAGAGGATGAGACCTATGATCAACTTCTAGAGAGTGTTCTTGTCGGACCTATTAATGTTGGAAACTACCGGTTTGTACTACAGGTACGGCATGTGTTGTTTCCCTTCCCTTTATCTGGCCTTTGTGTTATTACTGAGGCTAGTCTCACTATTCCTCCAATGTGCTTTGTCGAAAACATTTCATAGGCTGACCCTGCAGACCCATCAAAGATACGCGAGGAAGACGTCATTGGTGTGACTGTGCTTCTCTTAACTTGCTCGTATATGGGTCAGGAATTCATAAGAGTCGGTTACTACGTGAACAACGATTATGATGATGAACAGCTCAGAGAAGAGCCTCCCCCCAAGGTTTTGGTAGACAAGGTCCAGAGGAACATTCTCTCCGACAAACCAAGAGTGACCAAGTTCCCTATCAATTTTCATCCGGACGATGAGCAGACAGGTAGTGATATCCCGCCTCCACCCGAACCATCTGATGATTCTGATGTCAATGGAGAAACACCAGTTTTGCCTGAGCCAGCCACCAAAGCCCCGTGAACATTGATTCTTGAGTCTGAGTTTCGTTATTTGCGAGCTGCTAGAGTGCCATCGTCTCCATCCAACTCGAAAAAGATAGAACATTTTGCTGTAGTCTGTAGATGCTTTAGGGAAGTGATACTTGAACTCTTTCAGTGTTCTTGTTTTTTTTCCCTTCGGATTTGGAACTATATTTGACAGGAACAAGCCTTTTGCAGGGACATCATTTTCAGCGTCCATTATGCTTGTCTCGATGAAAAATGCCATAACATTTTGCTGTTTCTTTCTTGAACTTTTAAGCTGCAGTTTGTGTTACTTGTCTCTGTTTGTTATGTTAATTGGATATGATTTGGAAAATTTATTTAGAAAATACATATTTTTTTATTTAAAAACTGAATATATAAATCTATAAACAAGTCCAAAACCGAAAATCCCCTAGCGTGGTTACAAGCATGTGATGTGATGCAAACATATCCTCTGATTTGATCAAGAAAATCCAAAGGCTGAAAGTATAGATTCTGTATGTAATTAAATCCTTAAATTTCATTTAAACTAATACGTTGAAAATTTCGACCGTAATATGCGGCCGACCAGTTGGATCCTCCCAAAATTAAACCACGTGTCGCACGTTTATTGGGCAGAGAGGTCAACAAAGTTGCGAATTTTATTCATCCCTCACATAGTCAATAAAGCTAAACCCAAGAAGCCAAACACAAACGGCAATCATGTTTTGGAGAAACAGGACAACATAAAACAGAGCAACTACTGCTTAGTACTTACAGTTCAACTCTTCATCAGTAAAGTGGAGGATCTGTCGAACCGCTATTCGGTCTGTTCGGTCCTGGTCCTGGATTTGGCCCTGTTGGTGGCTTCACTTCATCCCCTGGATCCGTTCCCGGGTTCGTACCGGGATTGGTTCCAGGGTTTGTACTGGGATTGGTTCCTGGGTTTGTACTGGGATTCGTACCGGGGTTGGTTCCGGGATTGGTTCCAGTGTTTGTACCGGGCGGTCCCCAGGGTCCGAAGGGAGGTGGGCCCCATGGACCGGGCGGTCCGAAAGGAGGTCGGCCCCATGGACCGGGTGGTCCGAACGGCGGCGGTCCGAAGGGCCGTCCTCCGAATGGTGGTGGTGGTCCGAACGGGGGTGGACCGAAAGGTGGTGGAGGTCCACGACCACCCCGTCCGCCGCAGCCTCCTGGTGGTCCTCGTGGAAACATATACGCAGAAATATATGTGATTCGATCAAATCCGAAATGGACCCGATGTATGTGCTCTTACATCTTTTTATAGACCTGTTGTGGATATATACATATATGTGTGTCTGAAAAGTCGAGGAATCTACTGCGAACGTGAAGAGTCGTGTTCTTTTTTTTAATAAAATGTGTTTTAAAAATCGGAGTTTAGTAAATTAAACAAAATGTGAATTTTTTATTAATCGATCTGAAAACGTGGACAATCACGAGATTTTTTTAAAATAGGAAAAATGATTTATACGATAAAATTAAAATCCATAAGAAGAGATGTATTACTGAACTGATGTTTACAGTGATGGGCCATTGAATTTCTTGGAAATTTAAGTATTAGCCCCTTCATACCTATAGGTGTGTGATGTTATACAGTAGGGTATCTCTCATCTTATCTGGAAACCGTACGCCAAAACCGGGAAATCCAGAAACCAGAGAGAATTTCCGGTTTAGCCTACCTTCAAGAACCAGAATCTGTTTTAGTCTTCAAATAACACTTGTGTCGTATAAATTCTCTCTGGTAATGACACGATGGTAAAACAAAGCATAGATTACTGTATGTTATCAGTTTACAGTGACAACCAACCAAAACACTACAAGGCTTCAAGTCCAAGAAGAAGAGGCAATTCTCATGCGAAGGGCTTCAAGTTTTTACCTTTTCATCTTAAAAAACTTCACCAAGTTTGGAACTTTCTTCTTCTTCTTGATGATGAAGAAAGTGGGTGTTCCCCTGTTTGCCATTGACAACCTTCTCGGCTTCCCTCTCTGCGTCGGCGTATATTTCCCACTCAACCTCGTGGATTTTCTTACGGGTTTCGCATTGAGGAAGCTTTCGCCATCTGGGTTCTGCTTGAGATTCTCTATCTCTTGCTCGACCATTCTCTTTTTAGAGAGCGATCTCTGCGCTCTAAAGGCTTCTCGTTCTTCTTCTGTCCTCGTCACTCCACTTGCTCTCTTGAAAGTTTCAGTCTTCATAGTAATGGCCCTCGTGCTAGCCTTCAGCGCTTCAACCCATGCCTCTGCTGCTGCAACTTTCTTCTCTGCAGTTTCTTCTGCCTGAGAAGCATGCCCGGTCAAATACTCGTACTCGAATCTGGAGATTGTGATGGTTGAACCCTGCTGAGAAACCGATCCCCGAGCTTCCATTGTGTTCTCTATCATAGATTCCAGCTTCTCCAGTGCTAAAGCCTCGGCCTCCTTCACTTTCTCGAGCTCGTTCAGTTTGGCAAGCAACTCTTTCTCCTTTTCCTCTATTTCAAGCTCGGCTTTGTGTATCTCGGCCTTGACGAGACCCGTTTCTTCTTTAAGAATCAGCTCTTCTTTCTTTGCAGCTTCATTATCAGCCATCAACTTCTCAAGCGATCCAGTTAAATTGACACCAAGAGAACTGGTTCTTTCTTCTGCTGCAGAAACTGTTTCCAGTTTTGATTTTGCCCTGAGGAGCTTCGAATTGAATTTTTCAATCTTCGAATCATCCTTCTGTACGATTTTTTCAAACCGAGCTGTTTCTTCTTTGGCTTGGATAAGCTCATTTCTTAAGGCATCCATTACACTCATGAGCTGAAAGACTTCTGCATTGATAGAACTGAGTTCTTCCTTCTTGGCTTCCATCTCTTCTGTAAGTTCTTTCAATACCGATAAATTGTCCTTCTCTCTTTTGAAAGAACGCCGGGATCTTGACAAGCTATCACTTCTCCGGACTTTCCTCTCCATTTCCTTAACAAGCTTTAGTTGAATTTCTAACATTTCAACATCTGACAATGTTACCGACAACTCATTCTCTATCTCCTTTGATCTCTCCACCTCTTCCATCATTTCCTTGATTTTCTTCTTCCTTTCCTCCAACGAAACTAAAAATTCTTTGTTTTTTTCCTCTCTTTGGTCCTCTATCTCTTTATATTCCTGCAAAGCCTCGATCTTTGCCAATTCAACTAAAACCTGTTCTTCATTTGCCACCTCAATCTCATTCGTGAGACTCTCAACCAATTTCAAGTTCACTTCCATCTTAAGCCCCCAATCCAGAATTTCTTTCTCTGCAGCAGATTTCTGTCCCACAACTGAAGCTACATCAAGCTTCAGCTTGCTCAGTTCTTGTTTCACAGCCTCCAGTTCTCTCATAACCTCCACATACATGTCATCATCATCATCGACTTCTTTCTGTATTCTTGACTTCTTCAAAGCCTCCATGTCTCTTTTGTCAGACTTTGCATTGCAGTTCGATTTCTCTATCGATAAAGTTAGCTCCTTTACTGTGTTCTTGACGTTGGACAGTTCGGCTTCTGCTTTGGTTATCAAGGATTCTGCAGCTTTCTTGCTCTCACTGTAGATACCAAGTTGCCTCCTTGACTTATGCAGATTCTCCGCAGCGGAAGAGGACTGTTCGAACAAAACATTTCATGAAGGAGAGCAAAGATTCATCATCAACCAATTCACAGTTGTTAGCTAAGTTTATAGCCCAATAGTCTCAACAGAGAGACATAATGAATCATTTGATTGTGTTGTCACCTTGGGGGCTGTGGAATCCACTTGAGCGGAGCTGTTTCTGAAAGCTCTTTGTCCATACATGTTAATGGCAGCTTTCACAGACCCTACTCTTGTTTCACCTCCAATATTCACCTCTGTCATTGCTTTGTTACTGAAAGAAAAAACCCAAACTCAACGAGAATTGAGCAGACAACACTATCCAACGATCAAAATACAGACTTTCACTACAAAAATTCAGAAGAACGAACTGAATTCCAAGAAGGGCCAACAGATTTTCAGACGAGATCCTAACAGAGAAGGCTGGCGATCAAAATAAGGAAAAAACAACACAATTAGCAGAGAGACAGACGAGAAAAAAACCGGAAATTTCAAAAGCCCAAGCTTCCAAAAACATCGAAGACTGGTAATAAAAAATTCAAACTTTTCATCGCGAATTCGAAAGTGATGCGAACCCAGACAAATTCAGCCCAAAATTGCACAAGGGTCGCACCAAGAAATGTCTGCGACACACAAAAAAAAGAAACAAAATTGAAGGAAAAAAGGAAAGAAAGAACATACTGAATTGTAGAACAGCGCACCTGTGAGTGAGAATCTGCAGGAGGCGAAGATTTCTGGGCGTAGCAGAGGATAAACGGAGGAGAAGAAGATGATTGGCTCACATCGTGTCGACCTCCTTATCATTTTTTTCCTTTTCGGAGAATTTATGAGTCTTTGTTTGTTCTGGGACACCAGCCTGCGGCTAAGGACTCAGTTGCTAAAACCACCCACACACACACACACACAAAAAAAAAAAAAAAAAAAAAGAGAGAGAGAGAAAACCAATTTTATAGGTTTTTAAATTGCAGTAAAAATGTCGATTTTTTTATATTTTTTTTGGTACCGTACAATATTTTAGAAGTATTTTTTTTTGAAAATTTTTTTAAAAAAATTGATCTGTACTGAAAATGACCTGCAGAAGAAGTTTAATGGAATTTTATTATAAAAGAACCCATGCATATATAATTGGAAATGTCGAGTTTCAATGTAGGTTGGAATTTATAGCGCATTAAAGTTTTTTAAATCATCGGTTTTGTAACTATCTTATGTTTAAGATGTTACATGTGATGAATATATTTATGTGGCATTTCCAGAAATCATGATAAAATAAAACCATAAAAATCAAATCTTGAAAAAAAAAATCACCTTTTTTTTCCAATCACAAATTGAATTTAATCTTCAGCGTATTGTAGTCTCAAAGAAAATAAATTTTAAACCGAATTTCGAAAACAAAGACAAAATGGTCTCAGTTAAGACTATCAACATAACAACTAAAGGTGGAACGTAAATATATCTTCCAAAAAAAGTCAGACAAAGTCAGTCCACCACGGCATAGTAACATAGGATCATCTTTGGAAAAATAAAATTATCATTTTTTCATGTTCTTACTATATTTATAAATTGATTATTCAGAATTTTAATTCCCGAATGATACGGATTCGAATTTGGATTTTACGATTTCACATGATCCATCCTCATAAAAAATCCAACATAGTTACGAACATATTTATTTAAAATTTATAAAAATAAATTCGATTTTTTTATAATACAAAACTATCGTTTATTTTTATAAAGATTACAAATCATTTCTTCTATTAATCAAAAACTAAAAATTTGATCTTAATATTTTTGACAAGATTCGGATTTCTATATGTATTTTTACAATATATTTTTGGCTGGCTATATATTTCAAATCTTAATACCCAAAATATTTGTATAATATCCTAAAAATTTTCGATAGTCCTGCTAGCTCCTATAATTTGTTTTAGGGCAAATGTTGTGTGGGATGGGAATACGTTTCAATCAAATGTAGAATAAGGTTACCGGTTCAACCCGAAGTATTAGCAAACCGAACCGTGAAGGCCCAAAGCAGGGGTGGACGATTCGGTTTCGAGGAACCGAACCGTACCGAACCGAAAATTTCAGTATTATTTTCGAACTGAAAACGAACCAGACTGAATTTTATAAAATTCTCAAAAAATCATTTTTTTAATCTAAATATTTTTTAACAAAAATCAAAATTGAACTGTATCAAAACTAAAACGAATCAAATAATATATAGTACTAATTTGGTATAAATTTTAGAATATCCAAAAAAAAAGATGGGTGTTGTGAAAAACAACACAGAAGGAAAGAGACAAAGAATCTCTCTCTCTCATGTCGCATGTAACACGTCGGAGACTCCATTGCTATATTTCCTCATTTCATAATCCGTTGCGTGGAGAACACGTCCGCATTATTACACCTCTATTTCTCAATAATAATAATAATAATAATAATAATAATATTATGTTTATCAGAACATGTTTAACATATAATTAAATCTTAATTAACAATAGTGATACTCTTCAGATTCACTAATCGTTTTTTTCTTCTAAAATCATTTTCACGATCCAGAGTTTTCCACGACCGCGAGGAATTTGGTTTTCCAAGTCAACTAATCGAAACAAAAGTAAAAAAAAAGGTCTTCCATTCACAACATCTGTCTCTTTCCCCCCTTGACTTGGTCTTTGCACATATCTTCTCTGTGTTCATTTTATTTTATTTTATTTGGTGCACTCCTCTTCTGCAACAGACCTAACTCACAGAGAAACAGATTCAGACAAAAACCAACAACCATGGATTCTCCGGCATCAGTTGAGTTCTCAAAGCCCAGATTCTGTCTTGCTTTCTTCCTCCTCTTCCTGTTTCTTAATCTTCCTTGTGCCCTAAGCAACCGCAAAACCGGTTTATGTGACCGCTTGTTCGAGTGTGGGAACATCACAGCAGGTTTCCCCTTCTGGGGAGGGAACCGCTATTTTCATTGTGGACATCCATTGCTGAGACTCGGATGCAAAAATGAATCAAACACCACCTTTTTGGAATTCTCAGGCGTTCTGTACGATGTCCTCGACATCGATCTCTCGTCCAAAACACTTGAACTCGTCCGGGAAGAGTTTACTTCCGGCAGCACTCTCTGTCAGTTGCTCTACGACACGTTGCCTCCTCAACTCTTTGAGCATTCTCCTCCTTACAAGAACCTCACAATCTTCCACCACTGCGATCGTCGTTTTCACTACCTTGAGAACTTCACATGCCCATGGAGTGATTTGGGCACTGTTTATCAGGACACTGAGTACTCTACCCGCTGCCGAGAAATTGCCAATGTGGCAGTTCCTGCGAGTTTCTTGGCCGACAGGGGATCTTGGAGCTTCTCTCTCTTGGAAAGTGTTCTGAAAGAAGGGTTTCAGGTGAAGCTGAAGTTGAAGTTCGACGAGAAAGCGTGTCAGAAATGTTCGTCTTCCGGCGGAACCTGCAACTTTGGTAGCGACGGCGGCGTTCAGGTCTGCTGCAGAAATTCATCGCTCGGATTCAGATGCAATCCGACAGGTTCAGATGAGGGTGAGTTTCTGATCATGTTTGCCGTATTATTTCCTTAGATAATACAAGTAACTCAAACTCAATCCAAACTTGAATAGTTCAACAAGTGAAACAGGATGCAAAGTGTCTGTATCGTCTCGAGTTCAAACCTCGAATTTGGGGAGGAAACGTATAATCCAAATTCAAATATAGCTATATTCCGACTCTGATATTAGTATGAACCTTGGTTTAGAATATCCTGCTATCGAAAAAAAAAACCTAAACTCAAGACAAATACATACCACTCTATAGTATAAGACCAATGCATTGATAACTCCGGTTCTTTTTATGTTTAATACTCGACTGATCCGCCATCCTATCTAAATATTTCTTTATATTTTGATTCGATTCAAAAGGTATTTTTTATTTAAATTTTTATATTCCTTTCACATTTCAATAGTTTTATTTTACAAAAAGTTATGTCCAGTCATTTTTAATATTAATGATTTCATTAGTATAATATTATATATTGCTCAATTCCGTAATTCAGTTTGAAACAAATTAATTGAAACATCGACCCCGCGGTCAAACTAGGGGAAATCGATTTTTGGAATCCGGGGATATTTGATGGGTTCAAGTCCATAACCGTGTCCCGCTTTTGTTTTTTGTTTCCGGGAAACTTCTCTGGGTTTAGTGGGAAAATAAATTATAGAATGGCCCACTTTTCCATTTATCTATTTATTTATTGGGAGCTCATTTAAAATCCGATTTCACAAAGAAATACAAATTCAACGTTTTCTTGCCACGCCACCTAATTCCACGGAAACTTCCATTGTGGAAAAAATATATATATAATTCCAACTGTGAAATAATAAAGTATTCAATCGAATTAGTCAACATGGACCAAACACGAGTTCCTTTCCGTGGTTCAACTCTTTACAAAACCATTCACCTACTCTTGTCCTGTTTCTGGCCTCCTTCTCTTCTTCCTCCTTCTTCTCCTCCTCCTCCTCCTCTTCTTCTTCTTCGTCTTCACTGCAAACCAGAACCAAGAACCATGAATCTGTCTCTCTCTCGGACCATATCTTTATCCCACCTAATCCTATGGGTGATCTTTGTGTTTGCTTCTTGTGTTCTTTCAGTCGAAGAGCGCCATAGGATATGTAGCAGCCCTTTTCCGTGCGGAAATCAGACAGAACTCTCATACCCATTTTGGATAAAGGGAAGAGAAGACTGTGGCCACCCGGATTTCGAGCTCGACTGCAACCGAGGTTTCGCAGAGTTCAACATCTCATCAGTCAACTTGAGAATCCTGGAGGTCGATTTCCTCGAGTCTCGTAGCATCACGCTTGCAAGAACAGATTATCTCAACACTCTGTGTCCGAGCAACCTTGTCAATGTCTCGCTGTTTAACGAGATCTTCCTTGGATACCTTCCCGGCACCGAGGTGATAACGTTATATCACGACTGCCGGGATTTTCCAGGCTTTTCTCCCACCGTCTATATCGGGGAGTTACCTTGTGAATACGATGATGGAGGGAAAGGTTACTTTGTCACCAGGAACATCTCGTTGCCACTTCTTGATGGTGTCAGAGCCATGTTAAATGAATTCACTCGGTCGTGCAAGAGCAAGTCGATATTCCAGCGTCAGGAACTGCATTGGTCGCACTGCAAGCGAGTCCAACTCCACAGAATTTACAGATGGCTTTCGATGAAGGTTTCGGGCTTACCTTGAACTACGCTACTTGCGAAGCATGCCGGGAAAGTGGCGGCGCTTGCGGGTATAACAGGACGGCGGAAGCATTCGTCTGCTATTGCATGAATGACTCGCACGAACGTACCTGTGATTCGGGGAAAAAGAGTTCATCAGGTTTGAAACGAAAGAAAAAGAATTTCCTATCTTCTTGTTAACTTTTCTCCTAATTTTGGAATTGCCTGCCAAGATCACTTGAATCTAATCAACGATTCTATTCCCCCTCCACCACTCCACCTACGAACAATCTGCCCATCAACTCACCTTTCGAAAAAACCTGACCAAAATTCACCAATCACTGCTGCTGGGTTTCAAGCTCGGTTCCAATGTTCCATTCCATGCTTTTAAATGCATATCATATTGTGTTAACTTTCAAGTTTTCTCTTGAATTCCTTAGGACTGACATTTTTCTCTTGGCATTCACTGACGCAGGTCTCCACGGAGGAGTGAAAATAGGTCCCTATCCTTCTCCTGCGTATCCGAGAAACTCAGATTCCAATTCTGATCACTTGGCAACAACATCTTCTTACAAAAACTTGTCTGTTTCTGTCTCCAGGCATCGGTTTAGCTTGTGGATTGGTGGGAGGCTTACTCATAGCCGGAGGAGTGTTCTGTTTCATCCGACAACGAAGAAAGAAGCTGTGGGCTCAATACACAAGCAAAGACTTGCCAACAACCCCTTATTCGAGCACAGGAACTACAACCACGGCCACTTCCACGACGGTTTCCCGCAGTATGCATTCTTTTCAGTCCTCGGACTCGAATCTCGGAAATGGAAGTGTCTACTTTGGAGTTAAGGTCTTCGGTTACGAAGAACTCGAGGAAGCCACTGAGAATTTCTCTAAAGAGCTCGGTGATGGAGGCTTTGGCACTGTCTACTATGGTAAGACCACAAAACTTGATTCTTCTTCTGATTTGGCTTAAAATTGCGATTTTTCACTTCCCATTTGGATCAATCCATCAATTTTATGTGATTCTCTGAAGGTGTGCTGCGGGATGGAAGAGCGGTGGCTGTTAAACGACTCTACGAGAGGTCACTGAGACGTGTGGAGCAGTTCAAGAACGAGATCGATATCCTGAAATCGCTGAAGCACCCGAATCTGGTCATCCTCTACGGATGCACATCTAGGCATAGCAGAGAGCTTCTCCTCGTCTACGAGTACATCTCCAATGGCACTTTAGCTGATCATCTCCATGGCGACCGAGCCAAAACTCACCATCTCTCATGGCCTGTCCGCTTAGAAATCGCCATTGAAACTGCTAACGCATTGTCCTACCTCCATGCCTCAGGTAAAACACAAAGTGAACACTGAAGGAGTATCAGAGGAAAACACTACAAACCCTCAATCTAACTTGCTTCCTACTTTCTCTCCCATGTTTCAGGAATCATTCACCGAGACGTCAAGACCACAAACATTCTCCTAGACAACAATTTCCAAGTAAAAGTGGCCGATTTCGGGCTATCGCGTCTGTTTCCGACAGACGCAACGCACGTTTCGACGGCGCCACAGGGAACCCCAGGCTATGTCGACCCTGAATACTACCAATGTTACCGTCTCAACGAGAAGAGCGACGTCTACAGCTTCGGAGTCGTCCTGGCCGAGCTAATCTCGTCCAAAGAGGCCGTCGACATCGCCAGACACCGACACGACATCAACCTCGCGAACATGGCGGTCGCGAGGATCCAGAACTCCGCCGTGGAGGAGCTCGTGGATCCAGATCTGGGCTTCGACAGGGATTTCGCCGTGCGGCGGATGGTGACGGCGGTGGCGGAGCTCGCTTTCCGGTGCCTGCAGCAGGAGAGGGAGGTGAGGCCGTCGATGGACGAGGTCGTGGAGGCTCTGAGAGGGATCAAGAAGGAGGAGATGAGCGAGCCGGCGGAGATGGTGGACATCCGCGGGGGAGACGATGTCGTGTTGCTGAGGAACGGTGGTGCTCCGCCGCTGTTGTCGCCGGAGACTGATAAGTGGACGAACAGCTCGAATTCGAATACGACGGGGAGCTCTTTTTGAAGAGATTGGAGGGTTTTTATAATAAATTAATCGGTCATTAAATTTTGTCTTAATCAGAAAAATCGGAGATTATGGATCTAATTAGGGTTAGTGTTTGTTGTGTTGTGTGCGACCGTGTGTATATATGATGCGACGGTTTGGCTCTTTGATGTCTCACGGGATCCATACGGGCTCGTTTTTTTTGCTTCTAGCTTAAATTAAAGACGAGATTATAAGTTATGTTTTGTTAACAAAAAATTTCTATTTTGAGAAACGTATTCGTAATTTTTTTATTCAGTTATTTTTGTTTAAATTATATTTATTTTGAAAATATTTATTCGTTTACTTAATTTTAAAATATATTTAATCATTCATTAGTCTCATTTGTATTTATTATTGGTTTAATTTGATTTTCAATAATTTATGTGACAATATTTTTGCAAAAGAAAGTTTTATATGTTTATACAAGAGATTTGTTTCTCACTTGCAATTTTTAACCAAAAAATTATAATTACAAAATTGACCATAGTAAATGAGTAATTACAAAATCTACGTTTCATATTTTTCAAGTGAGTTTGCACCCCATCGTTATCATCAACGAAAAGGTATGAATCCAAACCTCTCTCGTGTCGCCACGTGTAACCTATCTCCTCCAACGATGCTGCCATCCCTGACCACCTCATTCTCTCTCACTCTTATGAAGAAGACTCGGACTGAGCAAAGAATCTACTTAAATGGTTTCTCTCTCTATGAAATTCAATGACGAACCCTAGAGAGAGAAAGGAAATCAAATCAATGGCGTCTCTGCAGAGATTCAAGCTCCTCGCGACTCACTGCGGCACCGTCGCCGAGAGCCCGACTCGAAGCCCGGTGATCCACCTCCGCCGCCGGAAAACTTTGCGCATGCTACTCACCCGATCATCAGATCGCCGGCGATTTCCAAACCGCAAGGGTTCGCCGGAGATCGAGAGCACGGCGAATCCCGGCGCCGAAGGGAAGAGGGAGAAGATCCGATCTCGCCAGAAACTGAAGGAACTCTTCGTCTCCTCGCCGCCGTTCGAGGGAAGAGACGGCGGAGTGGCGACGGAGACGGAGGGGCTTTCATCGGTTAACGGCGGAGGAGACGGCTTCACAGCTCGGCGTAACGGCTTAAGCGGCTCGTTAAGGCCGGTTTCTGCTGTACTTCGATGTAGGTTACTTCGGAGGGCTTGGCGTCCTGTTCTCGTCACTATTCCTGAGATCTGAACAGTAAATTCTTTAAAAAAAATAAAATTAGTTAATTAATTTTAAAAAATAGGAAATAGGTAATTTTTAGCAATTTTATTCACCTCTTTGCTGATATTCGCACCTTATTTATTTTTTTCAGTGTAAACTTTGTTTTGATGAAGAATTTTGGTGTATGTTAAATATTATATATATATACATACATATTAACTGGGCAATAATGGCTTACTTTTCTTTTGGGCCAATGTGCGAATGTTTAGGTAGGATTAAAAGTTAAAATTTTCAAAAGTTACTTGTATTAGGTTTTCTTAAAAAGTTACTTTTTTTTTCCACAGAAAATATTCTTTATAAAAATTGATTGGAATGATAATATTTTAAAATACAATGACTTGCTTATCGGCCCATCACAACTATTTCGAGTTCTGATATCTTCGAACCATTATGAAATAAAATTTACCCCTAACTGTAATCTATTCATTATAAGGACTGCTTACTAAATGAAAACTCGATGTAAATTCTTAAATGTTTATCGTGTTGGATGTATAAACAGAATTAAATCAATTCGAGTAAAATCTACTTTATATGACTTGATATAATTTATGAATTTGACGTTTGTAATTTTTTTAAAACTAAATCAATTGAGACTGAATCTAATGTAAAAGTAATTTGAAAAAAAAAATTGAATGGAAAACAAAAAGTTTCTCTATACAATAAATAGCTTTTTAAACTAAATTGAATTCAAATATTGTATGAATCGAATTAAAATTTTATATGATCGGTAAATCCATCTAAAAAATAACTCGAAATGTAGTTCTAGTAGTAATACTTATTTGTCGTTTTTTTTAAACGTTATTTAAATTAATTGAATTTCTCGTGAGGCAACAAATATCATTTCGATGTATTTTCTCGAGTAAACGTGAATTTCCGCCACATCATCTCAAAATGCCCCACGCCAAATCGACAAAATAATTATTTTAACCAATGTAATTACATTTTTAGTGTTCCCTTTTTATCACATTTTTAGTTGTTTTTAATCTACTTTCTTATTGTTTTCTTTGTCCGTACTTTATAAATTTATAAAATCTATAAAAACATATATAAATATCTAAACTTTTATAAAAATTCTAAATAAATATCTAAACTATAAAATTTTTATATGAATATTTGAATTTTTAAAAATCCTAGATAAATATCTAGATTTTAAAAAAATATTTCAAATAAATTCAAAATTAAAATATTTTTAAAATAAAAATAGTCAACGTCATTAAATGGGTTTATTTGAGAATATTTTTAGAAATCTAGATATTTATGTAGAATTTTAGAAAAATTAAGATATTTCTATGAAAATTTTATAGTTTAAATATTTATCTAAAATTTTTGTAAAAAAAATTAGGTATTTATATATTATTTCTCCTAAATCTATAAATAGTAGATTCCGACATTTTTTTTCACCAATGTAAATCATAATGGCTTCTATGTTATTGTTCTCTGTTCTGTTTTGTTTCTTTCCCTTCAATTTGTTTTCTTTTTTGTTAGGATTTTCTATGCTTTCTTAATGCAAATATATATATATATATATAATATGCTATTATCGAGAAGAATCTAGCAGACAAAAAGAAAAAAAAAGGAATTGTTAACTTGGATTATGATTTCTAATCTTGGGAGATTATACATTCCATTAACATTCATTTTTACCTTACTTGCAAGTTTTTTTTTTAAGTTTTAGGATTTTTTCATTATATTTTATTTATTCTCGTATATTGTTTGTTTTTTCATTATATTTTATTTATTCTCGTATATTGACCAATTCGGATCAATTAGTCTACTCTCATAAAAACAAAAAGAAAAATGAAAAAAAAAACAAATAAAAAACAAAAGAATTGAAAGCAGCGTTTTCACAACGGTCAATAAGAGAGGGAGATGAAGAGCATTTTGCCGATGCTTTGACGAGGCACCTTCGAAAAGCTCCTGTATCCATTCCCCCTTCACCAGCCGCCTCACGCGCCGCCGTAATCTTAACATCAAACTCCAAGAAACCGGTTCCTTCTCTTCCTCCTTCCTTTTTTCAACTTTGTCCGGCTTGTCTTTTCTCCACCACTCTACCTTTTCCCAATCAATCTCTCTCTTTTTCCGTTTCTGTCGCTTTCTTTTCTTCTTTTGGTTCGCTAAGATCCCTTCGGAGACCCGACAGAGAAATCTAGGGTTTCTGGGGTTTTTGATCGGAAAGGGGTTAATTTTAAGAATAAGGGGTGGTGGTGGTGTGTGATGAGAAGAAGATCATCATCGTCGTCGTCGCCATCATCATCATCACCGTCGTCGTCATGGGAGGGGTCACTTCGTCGATCGCCGCGAAATTCGCTTTTTTCCCGCCAACTCCGCCGTCTTACGGCGTGGTAGCAGACGAGAGCTGCGGCGGGCGCCTTTACATACCGGAGGTGCCTCGCCTTGACGACGTTGACGTCCTGAAGCTCCGGACACGGCGAGGCAACGAGATCGTGGCTATTTATGTGAAGCACCCGAAGGCTAATGGCACGCTTCTCTACTCCCATGGAAACGCCGCCGATTTAGGTCATATGTTTGAGCTCTTTGTCTTGCTTGCCAGTCGTCTTCGCGTTAATCTCATGGGGTACCTCTCTCTCTCTCTCTCGAGTTTTTGTTATCAGAAAAGATCCTTCTTTTCCATGATCGATTTGGGGAACTAATTAACGATTGAAGTTGAATTTACTAATCGATTTTTGGGTTCTTGCCAATCCCATGAACGAATCAAAAGCTGCAATTTTTTGGATTCACGGTCAATGCGTATGTGCATTTTCATGCATTTTGAATAAATGGTGATTCACTGATTATATAACCCATTTTGAACAAATGGTGATTCGCTGATTATTTCTCATCATGGTCTTTAATTTTCCCCTTTCCAGGTATGATTATTCTGGATATGGGCGGTCCACAGGGAAGGTATTTGATTCTGAGATTCCAATCTTTGCATTTTTGATTCCATGAGAAATGATTCATATGCAGTTCTCCCATGGATTCTTTGAAAACAGGCAAGCGAGAGCAATACATATGCCGATATAGATGCAGCGTATAAATGCCTCAAAGAACGATACGGTGTGAAGGATGATCAACTGATATTATACGGTCAGTCTGTTGGCAGTGGACCGACAGTTGATCTGGCTTCACGCACGGCTAACTTGAGAGGTGTGGTTCTACATAGCCCAATCCTGTCTGGAATGCGGGTTTTGTATCCGGTGAAACGCACGTATTGGTTCGACATATACAAGGTAAGTTAGCGGACAATGGATCATGTTCTGTCCCGGTTCCATGTACCGATGATAACCCGGAAGTCGGATGCTTTTCAGAATATTGACAAGATTGGCGCGGTTACCTGTCCTGTCTTAGTAATCCATGTAAGTGACAGTCTTATCTCGTTCTCTCTCTCTCTCTTTTTTTTTAAAAATCTCGTTATAGCGGATCTAGATGTTGCGGATTGTTTCGACAAATATTGAAACGAGTTAAAACTCGCAAGTCAAAAGCAAATGTTTTGTGAACCAACTGGTTGAATCATGAGGAAAGCTTTGTGGTGATAGCTAACTTCATTGGTATCATTTTAAAGGATTGTCGTAGAGATAATTATGACATTTTCCATGATGTCACGATACCGAACTTACCTTCTCTCAGTAATATTATACAGAATCTATATGCTTTTTTGAGGGATGAATGAGATACCAATCTAATAATGTCTGAATGCATATCGAGGAGGGGAATAACTCTCTCTTGTTACGTTTTCAGGGAACAGCGGATGAAGTGGTGGACTGTTCCCATGGAAAACAGCTCTGGGAACTCTGCAAAGAAAAGTATGAACCTTCATGGATAACAGGAGGAGGACACTGCGACCTCGAGCTCTATCCAGAATACATCAGACGTCTGAAGAAGTTTGTCATTTCAGTAGGCAAACCAAAGGGACCAAGAATCGGTAGCAACAAAGGCGAAACAGATGCAACCGACAACCAGAGCAAGAGCAAGCCCCCTGAAAACGGGACTGCTGATACTTTTGAGCTCGGATACCTTCCGGAAGTTTCTAGAAACAGTCTTGATAGCCGGCTGGAGAAGACGAGTAAGCCTGAAAAGTCTCGGATGAGCATCGATCGGTTTAGAATGAAAAAAGGTCTCCTCTGGTGACGACGAAACGGATGGAAGGATCACGATCACGAAATAAGTTAGTTAATTCACAAGCCTTGTTTGTTCATGCGATCCATATTCTTGATGGGTTTTCCTTTTGTGGCCTCAGAAAATTCTGTGTTTTTGTGTCTGCTCTTAGGGTTCGTGTATGTATTTTTTTTCCCTGACATTACCAGAAATCTCAAAGCCTTGATCTCTCAAATGTTAATGTAAATCCCAGGGGGGCGTTTCTTTTCCCTTCAAAGTTTGTATTTTCATCTTTTTTCAGTGACAAAGTTGAAAACAGATTCATGGAATTGCTCTGTTTTCTCTGTTATTACACCATGGAGATGAAGAGGATGATTCATTGATTTCTCTTCATCTATGAATCATGGCTTTTGAACAGTAAATTTTGTAACAATTCCATCAGCAAGATATGTTTACAGTCAACTGCATCGAAGCTTGCATGGATTATATATCTGAGGAGCTTGAACTGCCATCTGAAGGCCATTGAGATTCTGAAAAAGGAGCAGAAGGATGATTCAAAACAGGCCTAGGAGGTACTTGGAGAGTTTCAAGGCTTCCTTCCATCATCTCCACAACTTTGTTCATCTGCGGCCGATGCGATGGGAATGGCTGAATGCACCATAGAGACACCATCATCATCTTCTTCACAATCTCTTCCTCGTCTCTGTTTATTTCTTCCTCAAGAAACCCCGTGCACTCCCCTTTCTCGATATCCTTATAGATCCAATCCGGAAAGTACACTGAGCTTGTGTTAGATGCAGAGTTTTTACTTCTTTCTTTGTTTCTTGCTCCGATCATCTCAAGAACCAGCATTCCATAACTATACACGTCTGATTTGTGAGACGCTTTCCCGTACATTCTCGAGAAAACCTCGGGGGCGATGTAACCTACTGTCCCTCTCGCCTCGAGCATTGACAGGATACTCTCTTTGTTCTCGCAAAGCTTGGCAAGGCCAAAGTCTGAAACTTTCGGACAGAGATTCTTGTCCAGAAGCACATTCTGGGGTTTTATGTCAAAATGCACAATCCTTGTCTTGCAGCCATAGTGCAAGTACTCCAGACCTCGAGCAACACCTAGTGCAATCTCATACAGCGTTCTCCAGTCGGTAGGAAAGGCCTCGCCCGAAATCAACTTATCCAGAGACCCGTTTTCCAAAAACTCGGATATAATGGCTCTTTTCGATCCTTGGTAGCAGAATCCGAGAAGAGAAACAATGTTAACGTGAGATGTCTTACTCATGCTCTCGACTTCGTTGATGAACTCTTGGCCGTCCCCCTTTGAATCTTTCAAGATCTTTACAGCGACCTTTCGCCCATTGGGTAGGTTTCCTCCATAGACAGTTCCGAACCCTCCTCTCCCGACCACGTGACTGAATGACTTTGTAATTCTCTTCACTTCTGCATAGCTGTACTGCTTCAGCGGTATAAGCTCCTTCAGCTTTTGACTTCTCCGGTGAGCTGATAGTGCTTTTCTCTTTTTAACACAGAATGCCAGCATTGCCAGCAGAACTACAGTCCCAGCAAATGATATAATGATGCCTAGAAATACAAAAAAACTATATTCGGTTACGTACTGTCTATGAAGACATCTACTGAATACTCTGGCAAGGGAACCAACCTATGAGAATTTCCGCTATTCTGGGAAGCCCTGCATCAGCGAATGCCGACAGAAAATATAAGTCATGAGGAATTCAAGAGAAAGCTTGAAAAATAACATTACATGATATGCATTGGAACCAAGCTTGAAATTCAGCAGCAGTGGTCGGTGAATTTTGGTCAGTTTTGTTTTTCAGAAGGTGAGTTGATGGCCAGATTGTAAGTAGGTGGAGGAGGGGGGGAAAGAATCGTTGATTAGATTCAAGTGATCTATACTCAACAGTTCTAAAAAAACCCTGAATCCTGGATCTGAGTATCTGAAAATCTAAACTGTTCTTGGTAGACAATTCCAAATTTAGGAGAAAAATGAACTATAGATTGTTGCAAACCTGACTTTTTCCCCGAATCACAGGTACGGTCGTGCGATTCATTCATACAATAGCAGACGAATGCTTCCGTCGTCCTGTTATACCCGCAAGCACCGCCACTTTCCCGGCATGCTTCGCAAGTAGCGTAGTTCAAGATAAGCCCGGAACCTTCATCGAAAGCCTTCTGTAAATTCTGTGGAGTTGGACTCTCTTGCAGTGCGACCAACGCAGGCCCTGACGCGGGAATATCGACGCTC